GCTCCGCTTCTATCATTTCCTTAAAATGCCAATCTTTCTAGTTTGACAGCAATTAAAATACTGTTTCAAAATATTTCTCTTTTGGTACAATCTCAGTTACGAAGTATTCTGTTTTTTTTCTAATTTGAAGCAAAGAATCTGCTTCTCCATGGAAGAGAGAGGTGAAAGGAAAATGTATGAGTTTCTAATACCTAGTTTTGACACATTTTTGAAATTTCAGATGCTGGCTAGATCACTTAGTGAAATGACTGTTGATGATGACTGATCTACACACTGTCAAAATATTCCTGTATCCATTTATAATTCTTAATACACAGCAGCATTACTTATCAGTAATTTCTGCAGTTAAAAAAAAAAAATCACTATATTTATTTATCCTTTTTGTATTTTAAGACAGTTTGTTGCTCAAGAAAAGTCAAGAATTGAAATGAAGATCGCCAGGAAGGAATAAAAGGTGAATTCTACAAGCAAATTTTATCTGGAAAAGTAAGTGTCTGTGTGGGGGAGGAGGGTGGAAAGACTCTTTTCTCCTCTGCCCGCTGAAAAAGTTGTATTTTGAATCCTGTTTTTCCACAGTAATTGTAAAGAAAACGGAAAAACCTCTCATCAGTTTGATGCTCAGCAATATAAAAACAGGAATAAGCAGAAATAAGCTAGATCGAATGCATCAGCTAACTTCATTCTCCTTTGTTTTTTTGTCAAAAGTATTTTCTTTGAAAGAACCTAGTCAAGTCTGGCCACTCATTTAAAGTTTTATTTAAATTCAGTCAGAGTTTTTCAGTGTACAAGTAAAATTGTTAGTTTTGTAATGTGGCTTTTGTTTCACTACGTTTTAGGAGACAGATTATTAAGATGATTTTGTTTTTCAGTATGTTCTCCAACATGAAGTAGAACGATATAAAGCAAAAAGTAAACACTGCTGTTGAGGACTTGAAACTCCAATTCCTTGGAATGTGTCAGAGGTAAACCTGAAGAATTCCTTAAGTATGTTTTTATGCTCAGTCAGCTTGAAAATACTTTGCCATTTTTACTAGTGCTTATAAACCTGAGTTTTGGATGACTGCTTGACCTTTTGGAGTAAGGATGACAGTTAAGATCAGCTGATGAATAACTGCTTACACTGTTTGCAGGAATTAAGGTATTGGTCTATAACTGAGCATTATGATGGCTGGTTCTCTATGTGAAGTGCCTGAGCTTCCTCCATAGTATATGGAGAGAGTTAAGAATTCGTAAGAGTCAATATGATGACTGGGGACTTTCTATTTTAGCCATGTGGATATGATTAAGCAAGGCAGAGAGGCGTAGCATTTAGCCATTTTGACCTAAGACTGCAGGGAAGCAGACACAGTGCCAATGGGTTAATAGCTTTCAGGATATGAGAGATACAGTTTAGAGGCTTTGAAGATATTTAACCTACGTAGCTCACCTATGAAAAGGATAATCTGATTGCCAGCTTAAAGCAACTACTGCCTCTACTCTTTTTGCTGAAATTGTGAAAAGAATTAGAGTGTCTCTTATTTAGTGACAGAGAAAGAAACATACACCAGTGACACTCTAGCCTGTGATTAGGATACCTGACTGCAAAAAGATAAAATCTGGCTTGATCCCTGCTTGTTTATGCAAAGGTCCCCTGCAAAACTTTCTTCAGAGAGATCACCCCTGGTAAGAGCAATCTAACTGGCAAAGTGTGTGTCTATGTTAGCGTTTTGGTTTGGCTCAGAAGTGAGCCAAATTGATTGTCCCTACGTACTGTGCTTTGGTTCATTTTATAGAGTTGTCTCAGAGCATGTGACCTGGATTCCTTTGGGGTAAAGTAAGACAGGAAGGTGTGCTCCAACCACTGCATTCAACCCATGTGTTCAGACTAAAGCTATTCCAAAGTATAACCCCTGAAATGTGCATTGGTGCTGAGCATTTGACATCCACACAACTTTTGCTCTACAAATGGGCTTCTTTTGGACTAGTCTACTTGCTAAAGTAGACACAACAAGCATGTGCAAAGACAGCAGAGTTGGCATACACCTTGCTCAGTAACTTCCCTGGCCTCTCTTGGACAACTCTTACTAAATGTACACTCCTAGAATTCACACTAATTTGGCTTTTACATTATTAAGAGATTGAGACCTTCTAGATCTTGGCAAAGCAAAAAAAAAAAAAAAGTTGCTTTTTGCTCTTCTGGCAAGGAACTCTCCCTGGGTAGGGAGGTATTTTCAGTTCTGCCTGTGTTACTTGCTAAAACACCGTTCTTTAACTGAGTTAGATTATAAACCACTGTTTTCCCCTCCTCCATCTTCTTTATGGGCAGTTTAAACCTCATATATAACCTGTGAGAGAAAAGAGATCAATTAACTTTACCCATATTCCATCTTTTCAGTTACACTAGAATTCTCTAGCATTAAAAATCTGTCGTAGTTAACCTCTAAATATAAAGCCAAGCAAATAAGGATAGGACTACTGAGGTGAAAAATCAAGATATTGAATCTAACAAAAAAACGTGTAGCTCTGAAGTACAGCTACAAGCATTATACGTTGAATAAAACACTTCCTGAGATTCATGCAAACAGTGGATGCAGTGACATTCTGTCTTCCAAAGGAAGTAATCAGACACACCTTACACTGTTAAATTAATTAGCACAGCCATAGTTACAGAAAATGATAAAATTAAGACCTGATGTAAACAGCTGAAGCTCATGATAATGGGTTAGCTAGTTACAACAGTGATGTAAATATTATATTAGCAAACAGGTCAGAAAATAGGTGTAATTTTCCTCAGCTGAATCTGCAATGCCTGTTTATAATGTACAAATGAGTAAGACAAGAGTATAGAGAAAATGGAATAGAATAAAATAATCCAATAAACTAAGTGGGCATAGATTGCTACATTTAAACCTTCTTAACCACAATAAATAGTATGAAAAAGATTATTTCTAAAGGGTAGGAAAAGTTCTGATATTCTTTTCTTTAGGGAAACTGTAAAGACTACCATAATGTTAACAAAATGAAAATTAAAAGCTTCTCAGAAAGAAGAGACTTGACAAATTAATACCTTAATGATGTGCTTTCTTTGAATCCCTGAAGTATCTTGATATATATAAATCAGTACCTCATTTTTCAAGATACATTCTGCACTCTCAGAAAGTGTCCTTAGCTCACTGGACATGAAGAGAGGTGTTGTGAGAACTGCCCACAGAACTGTCTGAACTTCTGACTGCTCATTACCCCGGCCAAAATTACCTATAATCAGTTGGAATTGATCAGATATCATTAAATCAATAATTGAAACAATGTATATATGATTCCTATTGAAATACAGCCTTTATGTCCAGACAGATACATTTGTCTGATTGTAAGAAATTTTGCAAATGTGTGACTCCCTTAAGAAAATGGTAAAGCACCTTAAAAGATTTACAGATCTTAAGGGTATGCAGTGTTAAGGCTCAGTAAGCTGGAAAACTGAAGTTAATCTACTGAGAGCTTACAGAGAAGAACTTTTATTTGTATCAGTCTCTCAAATTTATTTACTCTTTAGTATTTCTTGTCTGAATTAATACAAAATGCCCTACATCTTCCATTTCATTTTTAAGTCTCCTTTTCAGAGCTCTCTGTGTGGCTCTGCAAATGAATATTGAATATTCTAGCCCAGCAACAAGTTTTATTTGCCTATTTTTACATACTTTGGACAACTAACACTAAGGAAGGCTTGCTTAGATAGGCACCTTGATTGTAATGATCAAAAATTTAACTACTGCATTTTTGGGACAGTGTGCTTGAAGAGTGGGTTTGGGTAGTTGCTCTAGAAGCGCTTTCAGGTATGGCTTCATGTGGTTCCACTTTTGCCACTCTTCCTGTTTAAATGTGTGTGACAACATCAAGAGATAGTCTAAACTGTAATACCACCGACAGCCTAACCAGCATGTCTCTTTTTTTCTTTTTCTTCCCCCTGCCAAAGTGAGGTGGTGCATTTTGATTTGTTTCCAAACATTCTGAGTAACTTAGATACCTTAGGGGGTAAAGCTAGCTGGGGGAAAAAACCCTAGATCCATCTCCCACCTGCTCATTATAAGTCTTACTACTTTTAAGAGAAGGTTGAAAGCAGAGATTGGCACTTCCCCCCCCCCTTTTTTTTCCCTGGCTAACAGAAAATCTCTAATAGGTCACCCATTTTGAAAAATGGTTATCTTTTCTGTTCACATCCTCATTAGACCAATCATCCATAACTTCGTCACACTGCAACATATTTCACTCATGATTATCCTCAGAGGCTATTCAGAGGCCTGAAGCTAATGCTCAGGATGGTGGCTGGCATTAACAAATTTCAACTAGCCCAGCTTAATACATTTGTTTTCTGTCTGCTAAAATATTGTAGTGAAATTGCTTGACTTTTTTTTAATTCAAGAAGTCCTTCTTAATTTTGAACCTTTCAACCTAAAAGAATTGATACCTTTCTACTTTTTGTTGGATTCAGGTCAGACGTAAACTTGTAGCTACCCCCTAGGATTGAGCTCCTACAAACCGTGGGCCTGGCCACCCCTGGAAGCGCAGGAGTGGGGCTAAAGCCCCACTAATAGTCACCACTATTGGGTGGTGACTCCGCTACTGTGGAAGGCAAAAAGTTCATCTTCGATTTAGTAAAATAATCTGGAAGTTACAGCGAGGCATTACAGAATGACTGTTCACTAGCTTTTAATTTTTGCTGCAGATTACGATTGGGACACTGAAACAAAACCAAGATACTGTCTGTTGTATCTAATCAGCACTAATACTTAATTTTAATGTAAAGGATATGACTGATGGAGTTCTACACTAACTCCTATGCAAAAAACCACAGGTGTTTCACTGGCTTAAACAATTTCCAACAATTTTTTAACAAGCAAGAAATCTTAAATTAATTTTAAAAAATGCTAAGTAGTTTCTTAAGGAAATTAAAAATGTTTATCGCTAACATCAGGCTCATATCATAAAAGTTACAGTTTAACTTGCCTTGTAGCTGTTCTCCAAACACTCTGCTGCCCCTCCACCACCGTCGATTTCTTAGGGATAGCAGAAATCACTTCCCTGCTAGGGCATTACCACTGTGTGCAAAAAGTAAACAAACTATATCTGAAACATGGTTGTTAGAGTACCAAGTCACAAACACAACTTTGCAACATGCCGTTTGTGTAGGAAGATATTGTTAAGCTGTTTAGCTCAAGTCTAAGGGTAATTAAATAATAAAATAGAGATGTTTAAGAAACAATAAAGTAAAAAAAAAAATCTACCAAAGCTTTTTATTTCTACAGAGATAAATGTTGTCTAGTATAGGATATTCTGTTCTTGCGTGGCTTTCAAAAAAAGAGTACAGACTGATGTAGTTGCTGTTTTAAAAAAAGAAGTTCATCTTATTTTCAAGGATGAAGCCCATAATCTGACCAGTAACTGCTGGAAATGACAACGTGCAATTTAATCAGCATTTGTAAAGAAAATGCTTTTGCTGTTTCAGTAATGCAGTGAGTTAGGGTTTTCAACAGCATGGTATGCACATGACAGAACAGATAAAATACCACAGAGTCTCTAACTCACATGCAATACTCAACGTTTTATCACGGCGATACCAAGAATCCATCGCTACCAACAAAAAAGCAGAAACAAAACATAAGACTGGCAATACCTTTAGTGCGAGTCCTCCTTCATATGCTGGCCAGCTACAAAAACGTGCAATAGGTCCTCCTATTTTGGTCAGAGCAATGCTCTCTCATCTCTGGGTATCCTAAGCAAAAAGTAGTGTGTCAAGTAGTGGCAGAAAACAGAAAAACAATAGTGTGGGCACCCCAGAAAAACAAGTGAAAAACCCACCAACTGCAGACTGACTTTTAGAATGGATTATGTTAAAGTATATTTAATCTACATGGTTATTTAAAATAAAGGGCATTATTTTGGTTGTCACTTGCCTTTGGAAGGGAATTGTTCATAACCTAATTTAGTTCAGTTTAATTCTGCAGGTTTCTCTTCTCATAAAGATATAATATGGCTTAACTCTTTCAATCTGGTTAATTCAGGTCAATATCCCTGAGCATGGCTTCATTGAAGGAGTTCTGTATTTCATACTGTTGTTTTGTATACAGCTCTATCTTGGTGAAGTATTTATAGAACTTACGTATACATTCTTTGTTGTTGAGTATTTCCTTTGGTAGTAGCTAAAACATATATTCATGTCTTACCAAAACTGTCTGTTATGTTAAAAAAATACCTTTTTTGAAATTTCCTCTTTTAATTATTCAGGGAGATATTTTTTTTTTCTTCCCAAAATACACATGGAGTTAGAATAACCATATATTCCATATGTAGTTATATTCCATAAACACTGTTTAAGGAAAGAGAACAATGTCATCATACATTCATACATATATATGATAGAATTCTGGGTCTGGGGAAGAATCAGACTCTTTTAAAACAGCAAAACCAAAACAGTTTTGAAGGGAATACATTCCTGGAATTATCTCTACACATAAATAACTTATTTACGTCAGAAATTCCAGTGAACTGTAATACTAATGTCAGAAAGCGTTGCATGATAAGGACTTCAGATGCTGCAGATAAAGGAATGCATTGAAAAAACTTACTTGTCTTCCGCTCATCTAAAAGTATCATTCACAGCTATGTAACCCTCCTGATCAGTAAGCACATAATAAATACGGGTTCCAAAGCAATTTACTTTATAACATTTGAATTATAAAAACCAGACTGTTTTTTTGTTTCCTCTCCAAAAATTTTTTTAGAGTTCAGTAGAAGTCCCTTTGCTTGTTTTATTTTATAAGCTTATTGTGGAAACAAAATGTTTAAAAAGCTGGCCATGTTTTTGAAAAAGGCAGCTGCATAAGAGCCTTAATTTCCATTTCCTGTAAGTGCCAACTCTTCCTTAGCTCCAAATATCACTTTACCTAAACAAGGGAATTCACGAGGGATTTTTAAAAATTAACTGCTCAATCATAAATCTTAAGATATTATCATAACTTAAGATTAACAACAAGGAACACATCTACTTGTAAAGCAGTGGAAATGACAGAATATGTGTTTTCTTCTGTCTTAATAACTGCTATTTAAAAAAAAACTACGATTGCATGTTTTTCAGGCTGTAGCTTGTCCAAATCCAAAACCAGACACGAACATAGCAAGCTTGGAAGATATGATGAACCAGTGGCAAAGCAACAAGTGACTGAAGCTTGGAGTACAGTTTGGGTGTTTTTGGAATGCAGGACTCGGTTCTTCAGTTTAAACGCTTCCTTGAATAATGGAACAATGTTTAATACAGGTATGCTTCACCAGGTCAGGGAACCTTCCATCAGTGTAACTTCACCTGATAAACTACTAACCGGCTGTATTCCTTTCAGTCTCAATTAGTGGTAGTATAATTTGTATACTGTATTTGTTAAAACCTGGAAAGCTTTTCTTTATACAGTTCTACCGTACAGGCCACATCAGTGTCCCAAATGTTTTTTATCATGTTATTTGTGGGGACATCTGTACAAGACCGGTCAGCTGCACTACCGACATTGCCATCGCTAGCGCTCCCGGAAAAAAGGAAATAGCAGTATTAGAACATCAATTATGTCCACTGTAAGAGAGGGGAAAAACCCCAGCCCCTCGCATTTGAGAGAGCATTCCAGACGCCTGTAATTCAGCAACTCCCTAGGCACGGGAGGTGTGCCAGCAGAAGCGGAACACGCTGCCTGTCACAAAGGAAGGTGCTCTGCCTCCACCCGCCACGGGCGCCATCAGCCACCGCTGGCGCCGAGAAAGTCATGACAAAGCAGCGTCCCTTAAGCCTCCTGCGTACGCGCGTTCTATTATTTGGCCAAAGAGTTTTTATAAACGTACTGTGTGAGTTCCAACATAAAGGGTCCAAAGATACAACACGTTCCCGGGTCCGTAAATACTCATCCCGGGCGAAGGGCGGAGAACCCCTCGGGTCAGGCCGGTGCGGGGGAACGGAGGAAGCCGTACG